CGCGCAGGGATTTTACTCTGCAGCTCAGGCGGCTGTGGTGAATCAAATGGGAATCTAGCCCAAGCGCCAAGGTCGGAGAGTCGTGTCATAGGAGAGGAGAGAGTGTGGAGATGTTTTGTGCGGGATCAGGCCCGAGTCCCTAGTGTCGCCGGAGCAGGTAGCTCCCTTTTTCGTAACAGGAACAGTTTTTTAGAAAAAGACAACCCAAGGGAGGGAGAGAGAGAGTTTTTTATTAACCAACATTCTTTCTCTTGGGAGGGATGGGAGGACGGCACGCCGCTACCACACAGGGATTTTAAGGAGAGGGGTGTGATCAGGTGTGATGCGCTAGCCGTCACCCACCCTTGGGCGTCCGCCTCTTCCTATCTAAGATCCAAGGGAAAGAAAGAAAGAAAGAAAACAGACAAACCAAGGGAGGGATGGGAGAAAGAAAGAAAGAAAACGGACAACCCAAGGGAGGGATGGGAGCCTTAACCCTTTTACGTACACATTTCGAGCGAGTGAAAACCAACTCCTGAGCACGGCGCCGCAGGCGCCTGTTGATAGGTCCAGGTGATAGCCCTGGATGGGCAATGCATTCGCCTACCTGGGCCTCAGATCGCCCGACCGCGTCCCGGTGCTCTGTGGTCGGATTTGTGACGCCGCCGCACCGCGCCGCGGCCGGGGGCCCGCCGGAGGACGAGGATGGCCGTGACGGACCGGGACGAGCTCTGGGAGGTTCAGTGTCAGTGAGTATATTGTAGAGGCCACCCATGTGCACAATATCTTGACTGAGAGCTAAGCCAGGGGAGGCGATGCCGGGGCCGTACAGCAGCTTGATGGTGCTTCGCCGGCGTAGAAGCGGCCGCGGAGGGCTCCGGGTGCCTGAAAAAGACGGACGGAGTTACGTGGGCTGTGGGAGAGTTACTGTCGACTCAAACGACACTGTGCCGTGATCCTCTCATATATGGCTAAATAATTGACCGAGCCAAACAAAAGTTCCACCGCTACGACTGGAGATATATCGAGATTTGGTCACCATGACCACTAAAAAAAAAAGAAAAAGAAAACAGACAACCCAAGGGAGGGATGGGAGGACGGCACGCCGCCACCACACAGGGATTTTAAGGAGAGGTGTGTGATGCGCTAGCCGTCGCCCACCCTAGGGAGTCTGCCTCTTCCTATCTCTCTTCGCAGTCTCTCGCCGCTTCTCGCTGCAGCCTTCATGCCACCTCGCGGTCGTCCCACTCTCGTCATTCTCTCCCTTGTCATTTCCTCCTCTGTCGCGTCGTTCTCTTCTGCCTCGTCCTGCGACGCCGCCGCCTGCCGGTCCCTTGTTCTCGCGGCTTCTTTCGCCTTTCGGCGCAACTCCGTCCTCCTCGCGGCGTATCCTGGCCCCTCGAGTCTATCGAGCTCCCCTCGCGCAAGGACCACATTTCTGACTCCCACTCCGATCATTTGCCTCCAGGTCATGTTGTTGCTCAGCAGGCCTCTCAGTTCACGAGGTGAACCGTGAACCCGGTTCATGAACTAGTTCGCGGTTCACGGTTAGTTCACGGTTCGTGGTTCACGGACTCGGGGCGGGTGCTAGTCGGTTCACGGTTCACGGTTCAGCTCGACGCTGCCCCGCCTGGTTCGTTCACGGTTCGCGGTTCGCCCTTTTGTCCTCCCTCGGTTCGGGTTCACGGTTCAGAGTTCACGGTCGGTTCGAGGGTGAACCACTGAACTAGTTCATGAACCAAGCTTATTTTCACACCTCTTACACACTGACACAGTTCGCGAACCACAGTTCGCGAACCACCACGGTGAACCGAGACCCAGAAATTCGAACCAGGCGGCGAAAGCCGGAACAAAGTGGCGCGAGTCCTCGAGGGGAGTTCGACGAGATGATGGGCTACCTGTGCCTCTGCCCGCCGGCCGTCTGTCGCCCCTCATGCTCGTCATCTCCAAGGTTCTCACCACCACCGCGCAGTTTGAGAAGCCCTTCACTGGCGCGTGGCCCAACATTGCCAAGGCGCAGGTGCAGTCGAAGCTGTTTGCTGAGACCATCGACGTCTTCGACCCGCTCAAGGCGTACCACGGTGAAGTTCTCCCCGTCTCGCAAGAAAGGTCGAGGAGCTCGGCGAGGTCGGCAAAGAGGCTCTCCGGCGGGCGCAGCTCGAGTTCCAGCGGCGGTACTGTGGCAATGAGACGGAGATCGTGGATGAGGACAAGACGACTGTCGAGCACATCGAGACGAGTGACCGCGAGCTGCTCGCATCACTGCTCGACATGCGCACCCTCAACTGCGTGCACCTCTCGAAGGAGCAGTACCAGAAGGCGTGCGCGCTACTCGAGGAGACCTACGTGAACTTTGGGCTCGCTCACGACTCTTACGAGGAGGAGAAGCGCCGCGCCGCTGCCGGCGACGACAGCACCTGCAAGGCGTGCACTGAGGATGAGGGGGCCGCCGCTGCTCTGGTTCCGGTGGCCGTCCCTGCACCAGCTTCGAAGAAGCCCAAGCTGCTCGAGCAAAACCCGCACGATCAGTCGTCGTCCGAGGAGGGTGAGCAGTTTGACGCTGCTGAGGTGCGCGAAGCCGCGCTACGCGACGAGTTCAAGAGGGTTTTCAAGTGCTGGAAAAAGTTCCGCGCCGAGCTCTATCAGGACGGCGCGTGGCGCAAGTACTTCACCGAGCCCGGCGCGCCGGATGAGGTCGCGGCGCGCTCGTCCAATCCCGATAACTTACGGATTTTACTTTCTAACTCATATGGACCTTGTTCACAGGAGAACGACAAGTACGATTTCGATCCTCAAGACGACCTCATCGACCAGCTTCACCTGGACATCGGACGGATTTACCGCAACCTTGAAAATCAGTCACGGTTTGGCTTCCTCCCGGCGATGGCGAGCTGCTCGACCGGCCAGATCGGCGCCCTCATGGCCGAGTCTTTCTGCGAGCGCATCCTCAGCTGCGCCAAGCTGCACCGTCACCGCCTCAGTTACAAGGCGGAGGAGTACTCGATGGTGGTGATTCTCCGCATGAACCGCGCCTTCATGGAGTACATGCGCAAGCACGAGAAGGACTATGAGCCCGGCAAGTAGGTTGGTGGGGGCGGTTCACGAACCAGTTCTCGCGAACCCAGTTCGCGAACCGCCGCGCGAACTTTGTGGGGGCGGTTCACGAACCAGTTCGCGAACCCAGTTCGCGAACCGGCGGTTCACCGCCGGTTCGCCAGACTCGGTTCGTTCACGGTTCACAGTTCGCGGCGGGTGTCGCGGGAGGAGTCAGTTCACGGATCACGGTTCACGGACTCGGGGTGGGGGCTAGTCGGTTCACGGTTCGGGGTTCACGGACTCGGGGCAGGGGCTAGTTGGTTCACGGTTCACGGTTCACGATTCCGGCGTGAACTGAGAGGCCTGTTGCTCAGGTCCACTCTCTCTTCGAACACTCGTGCCTCTACGGATGATGCCGGCGCTGGGGTCCCCTTCGGATGCATCGTGACACCATGACCACGATAAAGCAAAAGGGTTGTGCGTGAATTCTTTTGAGAAGAGCGCCCCACGCCTGCTCCAGGCCCACTTCGCCACTTCGCCCCCCCATCCCTCCCGTTCCGCCGCCGCCGTCGCAAATCCCTTCTCACCCCCCTCGCCGCCGCCTGCGCTGTCCGCCTGCGCCATCACCCCTCTTTCGTCAGCCGCCACCCTCGTCGACTCCCTCGCTGCCGCTGCCACCGCCATCTCGCCCCCCCCCCTCAACCCCCCTTCGCTGCCACCCTCGCCGCCGCCCTCGCCGCCTCCCCTGCCACCACTGCCGCTTTCACCCTCGCCGCCTTCCCTCCACAACTCCTGCCCGCTCGCCATCTTTTGCCATCCGCCGCGCAGGCAACGCGCGAGCGACTCGGAGCCTGCCGCGATGGAGGGCGAGGAGGTCGACTTTGGCGACGCTGAGGAGATGGCCAAGGAGCCGGAGGCTGGAGGCTCGTCGAAGGGTGCGGTGCGCGACGCGGCGGGCCGCAGGATGAAGGGGCGGGGAGCGGCGGGCAGCACGCAGACGATGCAGGACGAGGGCGGCGATTACGACAGCATCGACAGCAAGGGTGGGAGCACCAAGGGCCCGGCCAAATGTGCGCCGCGAGTGCGCGGGCGGCGCGGGCGCTGCGCCACAGCCCAAGGACCGAGCCCCCCCTCCCCGCCGCATCAGCAATCGAGGGCTGGATCATCTTTGTGACCAACTTGCACGAGGAGACGACCGAGGACGACCTGCATGACGCCTTCTGCGACATCGGCGACATCAAGAACCTGCACCTCAACCTCGACCGGCGCACCGGTTTCGTCAAGGTCCTTCCGCACCTCACCGCAGCTCTCCGCAGCTCCGCGCTCCCACCGCACCGCTCGCTGCCTCGCAGGGCTACGCCTTGGTGGAGTACGAGAAGCAAAAGGACGCGCAGGGCGCCATCGATGAGATGAACGGGTCCACCCTCATGGGCTCGACCATCAGCGTCGACTGGGCCTTCTCCGCGGGCCCGAGCCGGGCGGCGCGGTAGCACAGCGATGAGAGGCGGCGGCGCCCTGGACCGCCATGCCTCTCAGACCCAGACAGAACATTCATGCCGCACCGGGCTGCCGCCAGTTTGCGCCGCGCATGAGCCGAACCGGAAGAGACCTTTCCCAATACATACATGTGATATCTCGGCCCGCGCGGCGACGCAGAGCCAGAGGGACTATTTTTTGCGGGTTTTCTTCCAAAAACGAAAAAGACACTTACGACTTAGTGGATAGTGTGTCACGGCGCCACCCCGGCACCCTGGCCCACCCTGACCCCCTCGCTGCCGACAAAGATCGCACGGCCACGGGGGGGGATCTGTTCCTTTTTACCCATCTCAGTTCTCACAGTAGAGAGGGATACATTTATTTACGATCGTGCACCCCCGCACACGCGGTGCGCGGGGCCGGTGGGCGCGGCGTGGGAGGTTCTCTCTGACTCTCCGTCGCTCGGGATTTTGGTTTTGGCCCCAGGGGCCAGGGGACGGGAAAAGGGCGCACATAAAGTTCTTCTTATACAGGCGACAAAGCGGCAACAAGACAACGTAGAAGGACCGCGGAAGAAAGAGGAGCACCGGGGCCGAGACGCAAACAGAAACACCGCGTTCGTCGATGGCTCCCCCGCGACGAGAAGATTGCGCGCGGCGAACAACGCACGGCACGCTCCTCGTCCTGGCCCAAGGCCCCGCTCCAGAGCGGTGGTCTGCGCCAACCGTCGACTCACATACACCGGGCCACCTCTCTGTGGAGGAAGCGAGGAGGGGCGGCACAGCGCCCAGACAACCCGCCGCGTGGGAATAGGAGCGCCGC